TAAAAAATTTAATTTATATATAAAAAAATTAATTTGACACCCCTAAATTTTTTATTGGTGTTTCGCCACTAAACACACCCTTTAGTTTTTACAGTGATGAGTTAGTACCAATAACGATGTCTCGTGTGTTATAAAGTTCCTACCTTTGCATTTGATTTTAAAATTTATTTCAATAAAATTTTATTTTCAGGGAAAGAAAATAAAAATAAATAAGCGTATTTAAAATTTGTTGATATAAACTTCTCCAAAGTACTTCTAAGAATAAAAAAGTATAAAAATAAATAAATAAACTTCTCAATAATCCTATTTTTAACTCATGTATAATTTAGTTCTAGAGAATTTTTTTATTATTTAAATTCTCTTTTTTACTTTTCTCCTTTAAAAGTGTTCCGAGAAAAGTTTAACTAAATAAACTGTTAAAAACTAATAATGTGGGGAGAAGTTAAATTAATTTTTTTTTTACAAAGTTTATACATATGAGAAATGGTTAATTTATTTTACATTAGACAATGGCCTTCGTAAACTTTCATGAACTTCATTGTAGACTAACAAACAACAATGACTAACTCAAGTGACCCGCTATTTGGTACTGATTTATTAATCTGTATTCCAATGTCTGTTAGTACTGCATTAATTCTTTGATCTCTTCCATTTTTGATAGAGATTTATTAACTACGAATTTTATATATGTATAAAACTCCTAAGCTAGAAGCGATCATTAGAAGATAGCTATTTGTTGCTTTTAAGGTTTATTAATAAAATAAAGTGAAAATTGGTTTAATGAAAGAGTAAGAACACCTTTCTGGTAGCAAGTAAAGTCCATGTGTGATGTGTCTTGTAAGAGGACAAGTTACTAGGTGGATGGTAAGAGATCATCATTGTTCTATTAATCTTCACATGACATGTGTACTGAAGTTATGTTAATTCTTTCTTTCTCCTAAGTTGATAAATTTATGTATGTGTCGAAGATTAGTCATGACACTTGATGGTCTTATTAGAGTGGGTAATAAAGAAGGGGTTATATTTTAGTATTTTATTACTTACGTATCTTTTGTTAATTTACTATATAATTGCAAAACGTGAATTAAATTTGAAAGATATTTTGTGCAAAAACCTGCCTATCACGATTTCTCAAAATTAATGATTAAGGACATAAACATAATTTTTATTAATCAAGCATTATTTTAAATTAAATATGAAAACGTCAGAATAATTTTGTATTATAGAATAGGCCTTAGCCTAAGAGATTTTATTATTGGTTATCTTATATGTTCCTTGCTTTTTTTTTCTTCTTTTTTTTTTCTCACGGTACTGGTTCTAAATTCTAGATTTTGATCTTGTTGTCCCAATCTAGAAGAACCATTGAAGTACATATTTATCATAATAATAATTTTTCGTCACTTGTGTTCTACATGGTCAAATTATATTATTTTGTTATATTCTAGGAATAGCTTTGTAATCTTTCATTTAACTTTAGTGCTATCTTCATGTATGTTCTGTAATATTTTACTCTCTGGATGGTCCATAAATATGTCCTTCGGATTTAGAAACTTCATTTAATGTATGTTCTGCTTGATGATCATCAGTGGTCCTAGCTAACTTAATGCTCAAAATGAAAATTAATATATTAGACATAGTAGAAAAATATTTTCCAGATTGTCATTTAGTGGTCCTTGTATAGAGATATTTTGCATGTTTTCCATAACTTTAGCAAAGTACTAAAAAGTAAATAAACACTAAATCTCCTCATCAAACTTGATACCATATATAGTAAAAAGCTGATTCATGATTTCTTGGAAGGTATTCGAACAGTCTGTCAATAAAAGTCCATCTTGATATATTTCAAGGTCAACCTCTGCATAATTACATCTTGATTAATGTTGTTTAACATCTTGTCATTAACTCATTAGCTAATGTACCAACATACTATTAGTGCGGAATTAAATTCATTCCTTATTTGTTTTGTCCTTGAGTTTCTCAATAGTAAATATAAACTGATAGATTGAAAATCTTTCACATAAAAGCAAATATTCTATTTTACCTTTCCATAGGAATAATGAAAACGCACTACTTCTAAAAGCTATGTTTGGTTCACATTAGAATCAATTTATTGCACTGTATACAACTTTTAATGTCAAATTTGTCACTAAGATTAGTTTAAATACAACGTAATCACATTCAATACTTCAAAATCAATTTCACCCAAAAATAAATCAAATGTGAAAAAACATTGACTCCTATAACCTCATTATTTAAACATTGGGTGTGATTGTTTAAACATTTTTTTTCTTATAAAAGCACTTTCTTAAATAAAATGTACTTTTTTATATGTTTGTCTAAATTTGTTTTTTTAAAATAAGAACCTGTCTACCTTTTTTTAGAAATAATTCATATCTGCTTCTTAAATAATTGTTTTTAAAAAACAAAGACTTATTTAAAAACATTTCTTTTTAAACTTAAACAGGTCCATTATCTGGTCGGTATAGTTTATTAAAAATGTAACCTATTATTTATGTTTCGGTTAGTGTTTTGTTCCCTTCAGAAATCTGTGTAACTTCTTCCACCTCAGAAATGCTTTTTAACTGCAGTAATATAGCTATATAGACAAGCATATATTTCTTAGTTAAGAGAGATGTGAAAGATGCAGCTAAAGATGAACCATGATGTTTTATGAGACAACATAAGCATACAGTGTATAAACATGAGCATAACAGAGTTAAGAGCATCTTGCAGACAACTTTTTTTTTTTTCTTCACAATTACAGCTGTTTGAAGGGGCGGAATTGTTTAGAAAATAATTAGTGTGCTTGGAAAAATAGATGAAATTTATTTATTTTTCTGAAAAATAAACTGTTTTCGTACATAAAAACCTTAAAACTTATTATTTTTAACAACTTTTTTCCCTTTCACCTTCATACGTACTTTCATACCATGTAACAGCTGATTCTATTTTTTGTTATATTAAAACAAAATTAAATATCTTAAAATCATTTTTCAACAAATTTACCAAAACAAAAACTCATTCTAATTATAATCAATTATACAATGATCGATTGTACATAAAATAGATTATTGAAATAATCAAACTTTTACAATTGTCCCAAACACTCTTGGTCAAACAACTTAAAAATCATTTCATAAGAATGTGCAAAGGAGGTGAAATAGAGAGTGGAATAAATCACATTCAAAAAGAAATCAAAACAAACAAACTACCTTAGTTTTTTGTCCCTTCCTTTTTCTACGTGAAGCCAAGTTTTAAAGTGGCGCATTGTGTGTAAACAACTAATGGAAGCAGCAGCTTTTGCTACTCTTCAAAATGCAGACAATGAGATTGGCTGCAATACCAATGAAGAAAATTAAATATTGTAACTACTACAAAAAATGGAATAGTAACTCATTCCATACATCAGGTACCCCAGGCAAGCACCAATGTATGCAATCAGAGTAAGATGGGGGATTTGACAATTGTTCAGGCCGAAGGGGTTCCCAAAATTTACGAAAAATTGAAGGATGACCATCCTTTCTATATTCTGATAGTTGAGTAATGTTGATGACAGAAACTTTTGAACCCAAATTGCTTAGGATCTTCTCCACAGTGCTCATAGTAGGTAAATCAGAACCACTTCCCCAATAGCCCTCAAAATCAATGGGGTCCTTCTCCCCATAACAGTTTCCCTCACTTCCTGGTTTCCACTCTCGGCTCCTGAATGAAAATAGTGTTCAATTTAGCAAGAAAATATAGAGCATGAGATGTTTGCATTTCATATATTAATGATATGATGATACATAAAGGTGTAGCATTAAAGCAACCCTCACCTTACAAGCCGGTTTTGTAGGGTTGAGTTAGGCTTAATCCACTATTCTAACATGGTATCAGAGCCATTTAGATCCACTTTAAAAATGGGCCACCCACCATTGATGCATGCCTCATAGGCATGAGGGGGTGTATTGGGAAAAATCCAAGTCCCGCCAATCCTAGATCATTAAAAAGGGTCACCCACCATTTATCCACGTACCAAGCACTGGACGTGAGGGGGTGTATTGGGAAAAACCCAAGTCCCACAGCGACTAGAGATTAGGCAATTGAATAGTATATAAGTGGAAAGCAACCCTCACCTTACAAGCCGGTTTTGTAGGGTTGAGTTAAGCTTAATCCACAATTCTAACAGTAGCAATCATGATACGAGAAGATATATCTTCTCATTTGGGTGAGACGTATTTGGGAACTATATATAACGATTTAGTGATGATCCACATACAATTCATATAACAATTTTTACAACAACATTTTTCATGTCTAACTCTGTTCATCACATATTTAATTACATTTTAAATTTCTTTCTCTTAGTTGTACAATTTGTTATACAAGTAACATTTCTCATAACAAGATTATACACTATTAATAACAAACGAAAATATTTCCATTTCATATCCAATTTTCTTAAACGCATTACTTCAGCAAAAGTCTAAAACTCTTTTTTTTTTTTCTTTTCCAGGGACAGTGGGAGGCCCCATATAGGAACTTAACTAGAGAAAAGGGGAATGTTGAATGGAATCAATTCATTTGTCCATTTTTCCCTGTTCCTTTTCTCGTCCGTCGTCCCTCAGATTATATAGTGTCACCTCAACAAAAAATACTAACAATTAAGAGAGAAAATGTTTCCATTCAAAAGAGATTTGTTTTTGCTGAGGTGTTGATAAGGCCCAAGATCATCATGGCTCACTAGAACCACTAGCCCATGAAGAAAAAAGGGGCCCAAAACCATGGATTGTGTATGAGCGGAGGAAGAAGAAGAATGCTGACAAGGCATGATGGTTATTCGGGGTTGTTAGAGGAAAGAGAGAATATTGTGGTTTATAGAGAATCACACTTAATGGGCAGGGGATTGGGTTATTTTTTTACTATTGTGGATAGAGAACCTTGTTGGTTGTGCTATTAGGAGCTTGGCTCTTGGCAGAGGAGATTTCCCTCTTCTGAGTTTTCCTTTCTTACGAATTCCTTAAATACAATATCCACCATTATATCAAATACCATTTTCTTATTCATTTCTGGTTTGTTGGTTATTTTGTTTGGTATCTATTAATTGGTCCGACATGCCGGATTCATCATGGGGACTTTGAATGCCACCGAAGAAGAAAGGAAACCAATCGAAATTGGAGGAACCAGCGACTGAAGAAGATATGGAAGCGCGAATGGGACTGATGGAGAGTGAAATGGCTCGGATGCGAGTGTCTTTGGAGGAACTTCAGGAGACGATGAGACGTGAAGCGAAGGAAACACAGTCGAAGCTCATTGAGCTTTTGACTCATCATTTCGACAAGCATTCCGATGATGAGGGAGAGGGTTTGGTAACAAAGGAAGGATCATCTAGTGGGGGAAAGAAATCGGGAGTGAGTGCCGGAATGAAACCTTTGGAGGGAGAAGCTCTTGATGAATTTCGTCAGTCAGTGAAGAAGATAGAACTTCCTTCATTTAACGGGGAAGATCCAGCTGGGTGGATATCTCGGGCAGAGATTTATTTCAAGGTACAAGAAACTAGTGAAGTGGTGCGTGTGAATCTCGCTCAGTTGTGCATGGAGGGTGGAACGATCCATTTTTTCAATGCATTACTGAATGATTACAAGGAGCTTACATGGGATGATTTGAAGAAGGAGTTATTGGATAGATATGGGGGTTTGGATGAAGGCAGTGTGTTCGATCAACTCACGTCGCTGAAACAGACCGGAACCATTGAGGAGTACATCCAGACTTTTGAGAGGTTGGTAGCACAGGTACCCAGATTACATGATGACCAATATTTTTCCTATTTCCCCATGGGGTTGCGCGAAGAACCGCGAGCCCGCCTCAGGAGCTTGCACGTGGTGGTTCCATTGACAAGGGGAAAACTGATGAATGCTGCCAGAGCAGTAGAGTCAGAGATTGGAATGAGAAACAGCGGGTGGCAGAAAAAAGAGGAGACGCGTGAGGTAGGGATAGGTCAAACAGGATTCAAAAATTACCCTATTATTTCGAATCGGGTCACCGCAAAGCAGCAAGGAACCAGTGGAGGAGTAAACGGACCAGGCCCAAATTATAGAAATGACCCAGGAGATAAAAATAGACATGGGCCTCGTGATAGAGGGGCCAAACACATGGCCTATCAGGAGCTATTAGACAGAAGGCAAAAGGGCCTTTGTTTCAAGTGTGGGGGCACTTATGGCCCAATGCATCAATGCCCTATTAAACAATTAAGGGTCATCATGATGGACAATGAATTACTTGTGGAGTGTGAGGAAGAAAAATGCGTGGCTGAAGGAGCTTACGAGGATGAGGAGGAAGGAGGCGAGGGGGAGTGCAGTGTTATTAGTCTCTTTGATTTGAGCCTGGATAGATAGCAACCCCCACGAACACTCAAGTTGAAAGGGAGAGTCAATGAACTGCCTCTCTTCTTACTTGTGGATAGTGGGGCAACTCACAATTTTATCTCGAAGCGTTTGGTGGAGGCTATGGGATGGGATTGGCAGTCCACCAAGAGCATGCGTATTTTGATGGGTGATGGTTATACGACTGAAACTCAAGGAGTTTGTCATGGGATCGAAATTGAAGTTGATGGGGAAAATTTTAAGGTGGATGCAGTGCTGTTCGATTTGAAAGATATTGACATGATATTGGGCATGACATGGTTAGCTTCGCTAGGCGAAATGATGGTTGATTGGGGGAAGCAAACGATGAGGATTTCCACAAATCAGGGGACTAAAATGTTGAAAAGGGTGAATTGTGAAGAATCATTAGCAGCATCTCTCCAAGGAATGATTGGAGAAAACGTGGAAATGCAAGACACAAGACTATCAGAGAAACAGTGTGGGGAGTTAGAAGTAGTATTGAAGAGTTTTGAGGATGTGTTTGCTGAACCAAGAGGTTTGCCGCCACTACGTTCCAAGGAGCATCAAATAATACTAGAGCCAGGACAAGAGCCCATAAACGTCAGGCCATACCACTACCCTTACCACCAGAAGAATGAAATAGAAAAACAAGTCCAAGAATTGATGGAGATTGGACACATAAGGCACAGCCATAGTGCTTACTCCAGTCCTGTGATTTTGGTCAAAAAGAAAAATAATAAATGGAGGATGTGTGTGGATTATAGGGCTCTCAATAAAGTCACAATTCCGGATAAATTTCCCATTCCTATAATTGAGGAATTATTGGATGAATTACATGGAGCAAGGTTTTTTTCCAAGCTAGACCTCAAATCCGGCTACCATCAAGTTCGAATGAAGGAGGAAGACATCCCTAAGACAGCATTCAGAACCCATGAAGGACATTACGAATATCTCGTAATGCCTTTTGGGGTCATGAACGCCCCATCTACATTTCAAGCGCTAATGAATGAGGTATTTCGCAATCTGCTTAGAAGAGGAGTATTGGTGTTTTTTGATGATATACTCATTTATAATGCAAGTTGGGAGGAACATTTGGCTCAAGTAAGAACAGTTCTGGAAATTTTAAGACAACATAAACTTTATGCAAACAGGGAGAAATGTAGCTTTGCTCAGGAGAGTGTAGAATACTTAGGGCATGTGATATCCGTGCAGGGAGTGGAGGTTGATCCCGCCAAAGTCAAAAGTGTAAGGGAATGGCCGGTTCCAAAGAACGTGAAGGGAGTAAGGGGATTCCTAGGACTTACGGGGTACTATCGTAAGTTCATTAGGAATTACGGGAAAATTGCAAAACCTCTGACAGAATTAACTAAGAAAGAAGGGTTTATGTGGAATGAAAGGGCACAACAAGCATTTGAAGAGTTGAAACAGAAGATTACAACAGCTCCAATTTTAGCTCTGCCCAATTTTGATAAGGAGTTTGAACTTGAGTGTGACGCGTCAGGGGTGGGCATTGGGGCCATTCTGATGCAAGAACGCATGCCCGTAGCTTTTTTTAGTAAGGCCTTGGGTAGTCGAAATTTAGCAAAATCTGCTTACGAAAAGGAGTTAATGGCAGTGGCTTTATCAATTCAGCATTGGAGACCATATCTGATCGGACGCAAATTTAAAGTTTATTCAGATCAGAGAAGCTTGAAACAGTTACTTCAGCAAAGAATCACCAATGGGAGTCAACAGAACTTGCTGGCTAAATTATTGGGGTATAACTTTAAGATTATCTATAAACCTGGCTTGGAAAACAAAGGGGCGGACGCTTTATCAAGAAGCTTTGAAGAAGGTGAGTTGAAAACCATGGTGTCCATGCCAATCTGGCTCGATTGCCAAAATGTTGTAGGAGAGGTTCACAAGGATGAAAAATGGAAGAAAGTGATTGCAGACTTGCAGCAAGCTAGAGAGGCTCATCCCGGATTTACTTATCAGCATGGTATTTTATTTTTTAAGAACAAAATGGTGATTCCAGCAAAGTCTCCTTGGATTCCCAAATTACTTGATGAGTTTCACTCAACCCCTCAAGGAGGCCACTCCGGATTTTTGAGAACATATAGACGTGTGGCTGCAAATCTATATTGGCAAGGAATGAAGACTGATATCATGAAGTACGTGCAATCTTGTGATATCTGCCAACGTCAAAAGTATACTACTGCTGTCCCAGGAGGATTGTTACAACCGTTGGTCATTCCAGAGAGGATTTGGGAGGATATTTCTCTCGATTTTATCACAGGATTGCCAAGGTCCAAGGGCTTTGAAGCAATATTGGTGGTTGTGGATCGTTTATCCAAATACAGTCATTTTGTTGCTTTGAAACATCCATATACAACAAAAACCATAGCAGAAGTATTTGTTAAGGAAGTGGTAAGACTTCATGGGGTGCCCAATTCAGTGATTAGTGATAGGGACCCTCTCTTTATGAGTCTTTTTAGGAAAGAATTTTTCAAGATGCAAGGTACGAAGCTGCTTATGAGTACGGCATACCACCCGCAAACGGATGGACAAACGGAAGTAACAAACCGTTGTCTAGAGACATATCTCAGATGTTTTATTACTGATCAGCCCAAGGGATGGGCTCTATGGCTTCCCTGGGCCGAATATTGGTTTAATACAACTTATCATGTGTCTACGGGAATAACTCCATTTGAAGCTGTGTATGGCCGTACTCCTCCAATGTTAGTGCGAGGGACTCAAGGTGAAATCAGAGTGGAATCTGTGCAGAGGGAAATCAATGAACGTGATGAGGCTCTTAGACAGTTAAAAAAGCACTTGATCAGGGCCCAAGATCGAATGAAGACACAGGCCGATAAGCATAGACAAGAGAGGAGTTTTGAGGAAGGTGACATGGTGTTTTTGAAGCTCAAACAGCATAGACAACATTCAGTAGCAGCCCGAATAAGTCCCAAGCTTAGTGCTCGTTATTATGGACCTTTTGAGGTATTGGAGAGGATTGGGGCAGTAGCTTATCGTTTAAAATTACCTCCGGAGTCAAGGATTCACCCTGTGTTTCATGTGTCACTATTAAAAAAGGCAATTGGAGATTACAAGCTGGAAACCAATATTCCTTCTGCTCTGGAAGATGAGAGAGCTGAATTATTGGAGCCTGAAACAGTATTGGCTTCACGTAGCTTGTTGAAAGGGAGAGAACGAACTAACCAATGGCTGGTGAAGTGGAGGGATAAAGCAGTAGAGGAGGCGTCATGGGAAGATGAATTGACCTTGAGGAGTCAGTTTCCTGAGCTTAGTCTTAAGGACAAGACTAATTTTATAGGAGGGAGTAATGATAAGGCCCAAGGTCATCATGGCTCACTAGAACCACTGGCCCATGAAGAAAAAAGGGGCCCAAAACCATGGATTGTGTATGAGCGGAGGAAGAAGAAGAATGCTGACAAGGCATGATGGTTATTCGGGGTTGTTAGAGGAAAGAGAGAGGATATTGTGGTTTATAGAGAATCACACTTAATGGGCAGGGGATTGGGTTATTGTTTTACTATTGTGGATAGAGAACCTTGTTGGTTGTGCTATTAGGAGCTTGGCTCTTGGCAGAGGAGATTTCCCTCTTCTGAGTTTTCCTTTCTTACGAATTCCTTAAATACAATATCCACCATTATATCAAATACCATTTTCTTATTCATTTCTGGTTTGTTGGTTATTTTGTTTGGTATCTATTAGGTGTCATTTTTACAGAGCTAATGATTTTTTTTCTTCCTTTTAGTAGATTAAAGCTAAAAGTTCAAGGAGGGGAAGCTACCCCATTGGCTGGGACATGCCAAAGGCAAAAATCCTCAGCAAGGGCTTACAATGGTGATTACATATCACCTACCAAAGGAAATTGTTAACAACAGGAATGAAACTCAACCTTCTAGGCTATTTGCTTTGATCTTTAGCAACTGAACTAACCCAAAGCTAATATACTTTAACACAATTGAATCAGATGAGTCGACATCAAAAGAAAGTCATAATTCGAACCAGAAATAGCAAGTCCTTTTACAATGTCAAATTTGACAGAAGAGCACGCTATTAAAGAATGTGGGAGGAGCAGGAGCCAGGGAATTGAAACTCTAGTTATAGCAGGCAATTGGCATAGTGTTTGCATTGGATTATCCAAATGGAAACATAGTTAAGATGATAATCCTTAACACAAACGATTATAAAAGATTTGTTGAAACGTAATCGAGAGAGTGAAACTGAATAGTCCAAACAGAAAATTGAATCTATTCTCATTGAACAAAGAAAAAAAAGGAATACAAAGCCTTATATAGCTGGTAAATGGGCTTATTACTAATTAGTAATAACCAACTAATTATTGTGCTCTCACTAACTGCAATTTTTACATCTTATATTTATCAGATTATGCCACAAGTCCTAGGAATGCACAACAAAAATAATCTATACCAAGAATGCATATTATAAATGTTTTCTTCTAGCAAGGACCATACAAAACATAGATTGGGTGCTCACCAGAGATGAGTTGGTGACATGGTCACAAAAAATACACGCTTCTTGATGGGATCAACATTAGAAGATACCCAATCTGCCCAGGATCCCATGGCCAACTCCATGGCTCCTCGCCCATCCAATTTTTCACAGGCTCCATTTTTTTCATCAGTCCATCTGCAAAAGAAAAACAGAAAAAGATCCATCAGAATAGAGAAGACAAACTTTCCTTAAAAATCCATTTTTATATTGATGAACTGATACAGACAATAGCTTGACTGGGCCTTGTCTCCACCACAAGTATGTGTTAAAAACAAGTATATCAGCATGTTCCCACAGTGATGAATGCCTAAGAACTGAATCAGGACGAATTATCCGTTCATCTAGTCTGTGATTTACTGGATCATCAGAATTAGATTCAGCAAGAAGGGGAGCCCAGAGAAATTCCACAGTTGCATTATACTCCTGAAAATTGGCACAAAGATAGAAGTGTGCAGGAAATGAGACTTTAAGAGAATGCTACTTGTGAACCAAACCCCATCAAGACATCGACTCAATGTCCTAGAACATACACTGTCTATAAAGAACTTCAGTGGAATAACAAAAGAAGGCACATATATATAGTATAGGGAACAGCGTTCAAAACATCATAAAAATGTTTCCAATATACGGTTCTTACCTCTGCTCTAAAAATAGTGAGATGGGCATTTGGTGACATTGATCTCTTGTCAGCAGGAATTACTGATTGTAATAAGCATACCATAGATATCCATTGCCCTCTATTTAGTGAATCTCCAACAAACATTAGCCTTTTACCCCTCAACTTCTCCCACATTTCTTTCAAATTCCATCTGTTTTATACAAGAAATGAGTGCATCTTAGCAGAAAGAACCTAATCTGTCACATAAATAATGAGTTAAATATGTTTTTAGTCCTATAAATAAAGAAATATTTACTTGTAGTCCCTAAAAATATTATTTCCTTCTGATCCCTCATTTATGGAAAAGTGTTTGGTGTGGTTCATGTCATTTGCTTCCACTTCAGTTAACGGTTTTATTAACAGACTGACTACACACGACACATTTCCACGATTGGGAGAGCAAAAGGAAATGATTATTTTTTGGGATTAAAATCAAAGATTTCCTAAGTTTTAGGATTTGAAAACATATTTAACCCAATAGTTAAACTACCACTTCTACAACCCATATCTGATGCTACATTTAGGCACACAAAAAAATCAACTCTAATTCCCACGGGAATAACTGAACAAATGCTATCCTACTTGGACCTTTACAAAAACTCAATCATGGCCATAAATAAACTTCACAAATGGCTTATTTAGGTAAACATCTCCCAAATAGGAAGAAAAATTGAAAGAAAAAAATTAAATAAGTTTTTTGTAAGCTAAAATTACTTATGCATAAGCTTATTTGTAGAAGTTCTTCCAAAATTTTATTTATAACTAATTCATAAGTTAGTTTTAACTTACAGAAAAACTTATTTTAATTTTTCTTCCTATTTATTTTTCTATCAGTGTTTCTAGATAAGTTTATCCAAACATATCCAAAATACTAATAACCTTAAAACCATTGAATTGGATCGTTCCAACTCATGCCACCACCAAAACCATAACCTGACCATGTTCACAGGGAAAAACTCAAAGCTCAGAGAGAGAACCACCTCTTCAAGTTGCAGTTATGAGGTTGCCATCTCCAATACTGGTACCCCAAATCAGACCTCCCATGCTTGTGACAAGCCAATTGGTCAGACATGTAAGGGCAATCTGACTCATTGTACAGTGGATGTGATACATTATCAAACACCCATTTGCCTGAAAAAACATCACAACTTTCCGGCCTCACACTCCGGCCACCGGACTGCCGAGAATCGCCAAGCCAAGCAATTTTCCGGCCACTATACTCTACAGTGGAGTTGCATCTACTGAATCTATCCAAAACCTCTAAAATCCAACAACCCCATTTCAACAAATCAGAGAAAGCACATACCAAACACACAAAGCTTGAAATTTTTTCTCAAAGAACACTCAAAGCTTTCAGTTTTCGGTCTCCAAGGAAACACGAAGCATGTTATGAACATAAAGGTCATACCTGGAGCTCGCTTGAAGTGACCTGAAAGGTTGGGTTTGACAAGGGTACTTGGAGAAATTTCTTGGTGGCTACGACCATGATCTGGGTTTTCATGGATTAGTTGTATGGTGTGTTCACTGTGGAGGATTGAGAAGGCTATGAATAACAGTAAGATGAGCACAAGCAAAGGGAAAATGGGGGGTTTCTTTCTGTTCCACTTCCACTTCCGCATGGTGGGTTGTAGTTGATTTTGATTTGATTTTTGATTTTCCCCTACAAGGAAACCAAATCTTGGTTGTGCCTGAAATTTGAAAAAAAAAAAAAAAAAAAAAAAACAAATTGCATCATTTTAACAGAAAAGAAATAAAAATAAACAGTTTCAGATTCATGAACTAGTCGGTACTCAGAATGACAGAATCAGAAGCTTCGATTTGATGTTTGAACAAAACAAGGAGTGGATGCTTCCTGTGCTAGTGTTGCATTTGCGAGTTGCAACTTGTATCGTAACTGGAGGTGCAGTTTTTTTATTGTTTAGTCAACATAAACTCTAGAATGATTGTTGGTGTTGGTAAAGGTAAAATCGTCCTTTGACCGCTTTTAGTTTTAACACCACTCCCAGCATTGCTAAGAAGTTGTTAGTTGAGTTTAGTCTGTTGTCAAATTTCTTTTTACCTTAAAGTAAGATTCTGTTAGAAGGGATAAAATCTATTTTGATAATTTATGCACTAAAAAAATTAGTCTTTGACTGTTATAGAGAATGTTGCTGATAAAAATAAAATAAAATAAAATAAAAAACTTTCCTTGTTACTAATTTTGGAAATGGATTTTTATGTTGTATTTATACTTGAATTCTATATGATGAAAAATTTTACTATAAAAAATTTCATAACTTCCTTATTATTTAATTTTTATTAGAGGCTAAAGTTTTACTAGATAAAAATATTTTATTTTACTAGAGATTGATGTTAGAGAAAAATGTTTAAACCTTGTGCTTGATAAGATGAAAGACTGTATAGATTTTAGTTTATGTTTTGGATTTTTATATATTTCTTTGTATTTTAGTTAGTTTGGTTTTGAAAAGGTTTCTAAAGTGTCAAAGTTTTGTATAGTATTTTCCCTTCCATTTTATTGAAACGTGACTTCCTTTTAATTTGGAATGTGAGTTTTTATTTTAAAAAGAGTGGATAAAAAATTTAAATCGATTTGAATTGATACATAACCAAATTAATTAGTATTAAAAAATTGATATGTTTTGAGAAAAAATTTAAATCAATTTATTTTATAAAATGAGTTTGGTTATCTAATTTATTTTTGTAATGTCGATCGATTCGGTTCAATTCAATTTTCTTAGAAAAATCAATTCTATATGTATATAAATTGGATAACTACACTAAATTGAATCGATCTAATTTAAAAAAAATGATTCATATTTAAAAAAAAAAATTGGACCGACCCACTTTATAAAGAAGAGATTGATTTGCCTATCTATTTTTATAGAATGAATCGATTCAATTTGGATTTTTCAAAAATTCGATCTATTAACTCCCTTAGTTTTTTTTACTTTACATTTGAGAAAAAATTGCAAACTGCACATATTTTTTTATTTCACAAATTCAATTTATTTATATTAATTAATATCATTAAGAAGAGAGTGTCAAATTCCAAAATCCTAAAGAAAAATCTCAAATCAAATACACATAAATGAAAATACTCATACCATTTTATTTATTTTAAGCAAAAAAAAAAATTCACCTTTCAAACATCCACTCAAAAGTGTAATCTTAAATAAATAATTATCATAAATTTATATTTTTATATAAATAAATATTTTCTTTAATTTTTATTTTTATATGGACTATTTTATTTTAATTTTATTTAAAAATTTAATCACTTTTTCTCCTCCAATGCATTTTTTTTCATTCAAACCACTTGCATTCCTTAAATCTATCCATTCCATAATTTTTCTATTTATTTTTAAAAAATATCTTTAAGTTATTTTTAAAAACACTTTTTCCGATAGTGAATGATAAAAGAAGAAAAAGGTAATTCCGAATAAGTTTTCGTGTCGAAAGGGCAATTGAAGTCTTGAATAGCCCCTTCCAACCTTCCACTCCTCACTTCGTTTCCGTCGCTGTTTTGCTCACTCCCATTTCGTGTGAGTTTTTATTTTCTTTTCTTTTCAGTTCCGATTTCCCTTTCAATTTCTATTTCTCTCCCTTTTTCCTTTACATTTGCTTGTGGGTGGTTTAAAAATTTCATCTTTGCGATTTATGGAGATAGTTACATACTCACATGTACCTTTTTTCGCATGTTAGATTGACTTGTATGATTTTCTGAACCAGTTCATTTTATTAGCTATTGTTGATATAAATTACTGTAAATTTTTCTTCTAAAAGTAGGACTAGGGCTAAACAGATCAACTTCACACAAAATTGCTTTGGGTCGAAAGAGTTTTTTCCGCCCAAATCAAACCCTTATGTTAAGTATTCAAATCAAACTATCATTTACTTTTCCTAATTTTTTTACCCTTCTCTTTTTTGTGTGTCTTTCTCAGAGATACACATTTGCACTGATATTTCAGTGGATGAGGTGTTCTAAAAGTTGAATGTTGTGATGTGTTGTTGGTTAGTTGCAATGCTAAACCTTTATACGATGGTTTAGTTCAAACGATACTGGTTATTCACAATTTCACACTGTCCATTTTGCCCTTGTTTTCTATGTGGTGTTACATCTGGGTCTTAATTTTGATCCTGAATGGAAGTTCGATGGGAAGATTATTAGGGTTATTATTATTATTATTATTATTATTATTATTATTTGGTATGGCTAAATTGCCGTGGGCATTTCTTTAGGAACTTCATATTTATGATTAGCAAATAATTCATAATAAATTTACTTTAAATCATTATGTGTGGGATACCAACTCAACAGCCAAAACCGATTCCACTGATGCTGGTCTTTGGAAGTTTATCTCCTTGGGATATGCGGCTCTTAGTTCATTAGTCTTGGTGCTGATTTGTGTTTGTGCAACAGGTTTTGGGGCATGTTAGGGTGGGAAATGTTCCTTATTTTGATTTGTTTTCTTGCCTTCACCATATCTTTAACTTCTAGAACTTGGCCATTATTTTCATGGTTCTTATTGTTGTTGTGTTTCCATGTTGAAGCTTCTAGTTAATCTTGGATATCCATTTTCAAGGTTCTCACTGCTCTTGGATTTCCCTTTTTATAGAGGACATATTCAACAATATCATGAAGTCGACTGAATAGGAAACTTGATCTGTTTGTAGTTTCTTTAGTTGATTAGATATTCAACAGAAATTAAACAAGTTTCCAGGGTTGTCCATTAATTGGGTTTCCTGGGTTGTTCATTATATATCTACGGGAAATTTATACACAGTAATATTAATGTTGGAAGTTGCATGCTGTTCTGTACGCCCCCTGTAAACATGTCTCTATCCTCAAGTTGATGCTTGTCCATATTGTGTAGAGGGTTGGCTTGTTTTGTAGCTGAGGTGTCCCTGTAGCACCCTCTTATTTGGTGAGTATCAAGAACTAGAAGGGTAGATCCTGATCCTTCATTCTTGTAACCCTGAGTGTCTACCAAACTCAGTGCAAAAATGATGAGTAGTGTACTATGAACTATTGTAATGTGCAACATTAACATTCAGAGATATATATCATTTCTATCAGATATATAATATAGTATCACTTCCCGACAAAAGCCATGACCTTGAACCTTCAACCTTCCAGAAAGTAGTGAGAGCTTATTATTTATGGAAGGATTCTGGAATTGGGGTTAAATAAGTTTAAATGTATTTAGCTTGATCATGTAATATTTCCGATAGGATCATCAACCTCTATATTATAGTTGAGCAATTTACAATTTCCTAGCTAGGAGTATAGAAGATATCTCGGAGAATACTGCTATGATTTTCATATAAAATTATTTCAACAGACATCGGTAGTATTATCAGAAGTTTCCTAAGCATTTTAAAACAGGGGAAGATAATTATATGGTAAACAGGCCTCTGTAGTAGGTAAACTTCCTATTTGATTGTCAACTTGCCCAAAGGAAACCTTCACAGGGGCTCACAGAGAAGAGCACCAAACCAGCATGGCTTCTTCCTTGTAAGCTTCAACAAATAATCACATACAGTTCCTTCTCAGTCTGTCTTGTTACTTGTCAGCAGAACTTTTTACTTCCTTTTGTCCTTTTATCCATTCTATATCTTCCTGTAAATGACTACTTCATGTAGTCCTGGAGGTACTAGATACCACATTTTGTAGCTAAGATTGGGAAATACAGTTGTGTTTTTAAGATGGAGTTATCTAGTGCTTGTTATTTTTCAAATTTGTTGTTTTTAGAGATAAAAGCTTCTCTTTCTAAAAGAAAGAGATAAAGCCATTTTACTTTTTGTGCCATCAATTCGACATATGTTCTCTACTATGAATGGTTCAAGAGCAGATTTGTTTTATTTTGTGTGTATGGTGTGCAACAAGGACTCCTTTTTATGTATGGAATTTGAAATATTATCTTGATGGTTGTCTTTTACGTCCTTTCAGCTTTTCTAATTTGCATCTGGAATCTCTATATTTTGGCCATAAATGGAATTGTCTCTTATTCTTTCTTAGTGGCACTTATATCTGTCTTGCTCATGCAGAGAAGGAACTTTAGTACAGTGAAGCCTATATTGTCAATCTAATAGTATTTTATTTTTATGAAAATCTATGCTTGTTAGAGATGTTTTTAGTAAATTTTAGGGTGGTGAGAATTATTTTTGCTGACAGAGCCACTGTGTTGGGGTAGTTCCAAAAAAATTTAGATCATTCCATTGTTTTTTTTTTTTTTAATAAGTTCTGCTGATCATGTTGGTACAAAGAGTATTAGAATATTATTTCTTTCCTTTTCATTTTTCATCAAACTAGGAAATACCTGTTTAACTCCTTTCATTTCCCATATTTGCTACTTTGCTTAGATCAGTAGTCAGAGATCAAAATGTCTCGTAGATATGACAGCCGTACAACAATCTTCTCCCCTGAAGGACGTCTTTACCAAGTGGAATATGCAATGGAGGCTATCGGGAATGCTGGTACTGCAATAGGGATCTTATCAAAAGATGGGGTTGTGCTGGTCGGCGAAAAGAAGGTCACATCCAAGCTGCTCCAAACCTCAACTTCCACCGAGAAAATGTACAAGATTGATGATCATGTTGCCTGCGCCGTGGCTGGGATAATGTCTGATGCCAACATCCTAATCAATACCGCCAGGGTCCAAGCGCAACGCTACACATATGCCTATCAAGAGCCCATGCCAGTTGAGCAGTTAGTTCAGTCTCTCTGTGATACCAAGCAAGGTTACACCCAATTTGGTGGCCTTAGGCCATTTGGGGTCTCATTCCTGTTTGCAGGATGGGACAAGAATTTCGGCTTTCAGCTTTACATGAGTGACCCTAGTGGAAACTATGGTGGCTGGAAAGCTGGAGCCATCGGTGCAAATAACCAGGCAGCACAATCAATACTAAAACAGGACTACAAGGATGATATCACAAGAGAAGAGGCAGTGCAACTTGCATTGAAGGTTTTGAGCAAAACCATGGACAGCACAAGTCTGACCTCAGAAAAGCTCGAGCTTGCAGAGGTTTTCCTGTCACCCTCTGGAAAAGTCAAGTATGAAGTTTGCTCCCCAGAGTCCCTCACTAAGCTGTTGGTGAAGTTTGGTGTAACCCAACCTGCAACAGACACTGCCTAGTTTGCTAATCCATGCTTGGTGCAGTTTAATTATGTGTTTCTTATTCATTTGTGGTGCTTTTGGGATCAGATATTGGCTCAAACATATTACAAGTTGAAACATTTTTCATGTTGGTAATGCAAATGGCTTTGTGTTTGACACATTAGATTTTCAAGGCAGACCTATGGTGTTTGGGTCCTATATGGTTAAACACCATATTTCCATGATTTGATACTTGTTATTTTGAATTAAGGCTATAGGATCAACATATCTGCTTGTGAGTTTTTTTCTAAGTACCTGTTTGGTTTAGTCCGCACATACTCGTATATAAATGAGTTCGAACGTCAAATGTCAGACACGAGAATAGCTAGTTAAACCTCAGACCCGTTGATCCAGACATTTTGGAAAGAAAATTGGAGTTCAAACTTTTTAAAAATATATTATATTATTAATTAGAATATGTAATTTAGAAAGTGTGACATTTACTTTTTTTATTATTTGAATTGAACATCATCAATATTTTCTCCTCCTTTTTTCAAAGTATCCTTCCAAGATAAATGTGGACATCAATCAAATAAAATAAAATAAAAGGAAAAGAGTGTATGACTTTTCAAAGATTAGGAGAGGCAACATTCTTTACACTTCAACTCTCCTCACCAGTCACCACACTAAAAAGAGAAAAAATAAGATAACAAAGCAGAAAGAAAAACAACTTGGCTTGCATGCAAAGTACTACATTCCAATTAAACTTGTGTCTAAAGTTAGTCATCGGTGGAAAATATAGGCATAAAGGAGCTCATTCCACGCATCAGGCACTCCAGGGAGGCACCAATGTATGCAATCAGCATAAGTTTTTGGATTTGATAACTGTTCTTCAGTTAGAGGCTCCCATTGCTTTCTATAGATTGATGGGTGCCCTTCTTTCCTATACTCTGAAAGCTGTGTGATGTTAAGCAATTCAACGTTCAAACCTCTTCCTTTCAAATCATGAAGCACATTTTCCACCACTCTCATCATACTAGGAACTGAACCATTCCCCCAATACCCTTCTTCTGTGATTTGATCTGTTTCTTTGTAACAATTGTCACCCCTAGCTCCTCCCCATTCATGAGCCCTGCATTTTTTTTTTAATATCACAAATCTAATTAGTCCGTTGATTAGATCATAGTGTAACTAAGAGAAATTACTGAAAAGACATGCAACATATCTTTCATTGAAAAATGATATGAAGCATATTTTTGAATGAAAATAATTTTGATCTTCGTGTAACTATTGCCAAAATATTTTATAAGCAGAAGTAATTATAACATTCTAATGACTCTTAAGCATAGTTTTAAAAACCGGACCGGTCATCGAACCGGTTAAGGTACTGGGTCAGTGGGTCAAAGGTTGAACCAGTGAGTCACTAGTTGAACCGTATGACTCAAATTTTATTTATTTTTATTAAAAAAATTCATATTAAATATATTTAATACTTATAAATTTTAATAAATTCATATCTTATTTTAAATTTCAATTTTTCTATCTTATTTAAAATTATTTTTATTTTTATTTTGTAAAAAAAATACATAAAAATTACATGTTAAACTGTATATTAATACAAATTAAAAATATAAATAATATGTACATATATAATATGCTTGCAATTAATATCACAAAATAATATATGTAATATTTACATAGATATTACATTATTAAATATATAATTTAAAATTAATAATATACTATAAAAGTTATTTAAGTTGTATATATTGCAAACAAATATATTAGAACAAGTAGTCATTGTTATATTTAATAAGACTCCTTGCTTTTTATTAAGAGATTCAATTTTCATTATTATTTTTGTGGTTTATGGTCCCTTAAAAAATTTATATAAAAAAAAAAAAGTGGTTGAACCGGTTTGACCCACCGGTTCACCGGTTGAACCGAAAAATTGACCGGTTCAATCTGGTTTAAAACGGGTCGACTGCATAACCGGTCTAACTTAAGATTCGGACCGGCTAGACCACCGGTTCCCGGTTCAACCGGTCCAACCGGCCGGTTCGGTCCGGATTTTAAATCACTGCTCTTAAGGCTCTGTTTGGAAAAACCGAAAGCGAGAAAAAAGAAGGGATCACGAAAAAAATACTTAAAATTTGCTCCTTCTATTATTTGGTCTGGTCTCATGAGAGAAGGAATGATGCAAAAGTATGTCGTTTTAGAGACTTTTCAATCCATCCAAATTGGACAGGAGCCAGAGGGATTTTTTTTTTTTTTTTTGAGATAAAATGGCTAATCTGTCTCTTATTTTTGTGTGTATATATATATATATATATATGTATATTTATATTAGAGATATGTTTAAATATTTTTTAAATATCTATAATTTTATAAATTTTACATTTTAGTTCTTATAATTAAAAATATTTCATTTTTTATTTTTTTTGTACATATCATTTTTGTTTCTTTTAAATTTTTATAATTTTATAAGTTTTTCCTTTTAATCGAAAATAAGGAATAAAAAAATAAAAGTTATTTATATATATATATATAGAGATGTAAATAAACTATTTTAAATTATAGAAATTAAAAAGTAAAATTTAAAAAATTATTTAAACCTCAAAGATATTTATGTCGTTTTATATACTTACATTTTTTCTTTCACATTATGTGCTCGTCATTACGTTATTGAAATGGTCATTTATAAAAAAGGGATGAAAATAATTAGGTCTGTATTTTCAGAAATTAAAGATTTAACTCATAACATTGGATAAATTAAATTTATTTACTAAAATAAGTTGGAATGGTTTTTAAGAAAATATATTTAGTTTAAGTAAACTACTCCCTAGTCTTTTTAAGCTTAACGAGCTACATACGTGTGTAAATATAAATAATATAATAATTAAATTATTATTATTATTGTTATTAAATTTACCATAATATTTTAACATTAAATAATTAGTTGCTTTAAAAGCTTAACTCAAATGTTGCACATGTTGATATTGATCTAGTGGTAGAGGTTAAGATACTTTGAATGTGATCATAAATTCAAATTTTAATATTATTATTGTAATTTTGGTAAATAAAAAAATATTAAAAAAATTTGATGATTTATTTAAAAATAATCTTTTAATTTATTTAAATAGAGTTTTAAAAAAAGGTTAAATTAGATTTTTAACTGACTCACAAGAGTCATAAATTTTTATTTCCATTTCTTTCAAATAAAAAAAAAGGTTTAATTTTTTTTTTTTTACAATTACATTTGTACCTCTCATCTTATTATTAATTTCATTCATTTTTATTTTAATTTAAAGGGTATATAATGAATTATATTTTACATATAATTGATATTTCTTATGAAAGAAGCAACATGATGCATATAGTCGATTATATATGACACAATTGATTATATGCCTTTTTAGATCAAGAGAATGTATAATATCAAATATTGTAATAGAACACATACACTGATATAATTAATTATGTTCAAAGAATAGTTGATTACACTTTAGTATCTTGGTAACAGATTTTTTTAATCAAGGGTTAAAAGGAGGAAAATAAATATTCATCCTCACTTATGCACAAATCTTCTTAATTTTGAGGTTGATTTTTCAAATGGGACCCACCAAAATAATTCACACATTTTTATCCTATTCTTCTTTACTAAATAGATATGAAGAGTACGCTTATCATCTAATTTTTCCATTTCCCTCCTCTCTCCTCCTCATCCATTGCAACAAACCCAATGTTAATGTGCAAAACCTCTAATTAAAAATTTATAAGTCCTTCTAATATCACCTTTTCAATATATGATATAGTAATTTTTTTAATATAAATATAATTCACACAATATTTTATAGTTGATAATCGAAAATCAAAATAATACACTTAACGAAGGATACCTAAATCTCTACCAATATACATTTCTTACGTTTCACCAGCGCACATGAGAAAAGGCAAAGGAAGGATAATAGGAAGATATCCCACGGACAGTTAATCCGATCAAGGGGAAGGGTATGAGCTGGTGCAGAAAATGCCCTGTTAGTATATAAGGAAGGAGACAATAGGTAGTATTTAATGTTAACTTTTTACTTATAATTATATACAATGCCTTTATTAATACTACAACTAAGGAAAGACACCTAAATATCTACCAAATGACATTTCTTACGTTTCACCAGCTGACATGAGAAAAGGCAAAGGAAATATAATAGGAAGATATCCCACAGACAGTTAATCCAATCAAGGGGAAGGGAATGAGCTAGTGCAGAAAATGCTCTGTTATTATATAATGAAGGATACAACAGGTAATATTTAATGTTAACTTTTTACTTTTAATTATATATGTCACTTTTATTAATAATACACCTATGGAAGGACACCTAAGTATCTACCAAATGACATTTCTTTCGTTTTACCAGCGAACATGAGAAAAGACAAAGAAAGGATTATAGGAGGATATCCCACGGACAGTTAATCCAATCAAGGGGAAGGGAATGAGCTGGTGCTGAAAACGCCCTGTTAACTATTGTATATGGAAGGAAACAAAATGTAGTATTTAATGTTATATACATTATCTTTAGTAATAATACACCTAAGGAATGACACCGAAATCTTTACCAAATGACATTTCTTACATTTCACAAGCGCACATGAGAAAAGTCAAAGGAAGGATAATAGGAAGATATCCCACGGACAATTAATCCAATCAAGGGGAAACGAATGAGTTGGTGCAGAAAATGCCCTGATAGCTATTGTTGAAGGAAGGATACAATAGGTAGTATTTAATGTTAACTTTTTACTTTTAATTATATACGTTACCTTTATTAATAATACACCAAAGGAAGGACACCTAAATATCTACCAAATGACGTTTCTTACGTTTCACAAGCGCACATGAGAAAAGGCAAAGGAAGGATAATAGGAAGATATCCCACAAATAGTTAATTCGATCAAGGGGAAGGGAATGAGCTGGTGCAGAAAATGCAATGTTAGCTATTGTATAAAGAATGAGAGAAAAGGTAGTATTTAATGTTAACTTCTTAACTTTTAATTATATACATTACCTATATTAATAATACACCGAAGGGAGGACACCTAAATTTCTACTAAATGACATTTCTCACGTTTCACCAACGGACATGAGAAAAGGAAAAGTAAGGATAATAGGAAGATATCCCAAGGACAATCAATCCGATCAAGGGGAAGGGAATGACCAGGTGCAGAAAATCCCCTGTTAGCTATTGTCACAAATTCCGTCACTAAGCAGAAAATGCCCTGTTAGCTATTGTATAAGGAAGGACACAAAAGGTAGTATTTAATGTTAACTTTTTACTTTTAATTATATACATTACCTTTATTAATAATACACCTAAGGAAAAATTTCTACCAATTGGCATTTCTTACGTTTCACCAGCGCATATGAGAAACGACAAAGGAAGGATAATTGGAAGATATCCCACAGACAGTTAATCCGATCAAGGGGAAGGGAATGAGCTGGTGCAGAAAATGTCCTGTTATTGTATAAGGAAGGACACAAAAAGTAGTATTTAATGCTAACTTTTTACTTTTAATTATATACATTACCTTTATCTTTTAAATAGAAATAAGTAGATTGTTAATTATAAAAGTAAGTATATATATAAATAAAGATTAATTAAATATAATTTAATAATTATTATTATTAGTAATATAATTATTATATATTATTATATATTTATAACGGTCTGGACACACCAAAATGAGAAGGATCCAAAGATAATATAAGTATGAGATTGTATAGTTGAGGATGACTTAAATGAATTAATTTGTACTACTTATACTAACAACAAGCATCTACTTTTCGGTAGCTTATCTCATCAGAACTTCACAGTTAAGCGTGCTTGACTTGGAATAATATAGGGATGGGTGACATTCTGGGAAGTTTCCTAGAAACTGTGTAATTAAGGACAAAACATGCTCAAAAGTGAAGTATTGTGAAATAGAATCTTTGAGAGGCTAAATATGAATGGTTCATAGCGATCGAATTTGCGACGTCTATAAAATTTAATAAAATAAAAAATAAATATTTAGCGACCAATTTATTCGGTATCTAATTTGGTCCCCATACACATTAGTGACCAAAATCATTGCAACCATTTTGCAACTGAAAATTTTTCTGTTGCTATATAGCTTTGCGACCAAGATTTTTGCGACTACTTAAATTCGGTCGCTAATTTCGTCGCTAAGGTAAATAGCAACCGATTTTAGCAATTTAGCGACCGATTTTGGTGGTCGCTAAATGTCATATTTTTTGTAGTTATCCAATATCATTGAGTTCTACAAATTCATTCTAATTCAATTCCTTGATAGTTAGAAATTCTAAAGTATTTAACTTATAATAAATGATTCCTCACTTTATTAAGTTGGATACCTTGCATTATGAGTAAAAACTGTTCCAACTAATAAATTCCAAATCTATTCCTAACCTTTGAAACTATTTGGTGATTTGATTCACAACTAGATTCAAAAAATGTTTTCAAACCGAAATCTAAATTTAAGATCAAAGATAAGTGATCAGTATCTCAACATTAAGAACAGAATCAAAATCACTGATACTGAATAACAGATCATTAGATATATATGAATCAAAAGGAATACATAAGAGTTTGATGATTACATTCAATCCCAACTACAAAAGAAGATTAGCTCCTCATGATTGAGAGAACCAATCTAGAAAACATAAAGAGTGGGTGTAGAAGAAGAGAAAGAATCCCTAGAACCATGTCCCCAGCTAGCTCTTGGACCTTTTGCTCTGTTCCTTTACTCCTTTGTTTTTTGATGCCTTTCTTTTCTTTTTCTCACTACAAGAAAAATGTAAATTTTCGACGGAAAATTTCTGACGGATATGGATCCGTCGGAAATTTTCGACGGATTTAAAAACAAAAGGTGGACTTAAATATAAGAAAAATTAACCTCATAAATAGTGGACCAAAATATAAAAAGAATCTTAACTTATTTTATCTCATTTAATGGTGTCATTTTTAAATTACATTTTCATTTAATTAAAATTCTATTTTCAATAACCTTTTCATTCTTAATATCCACATCCAAATTCAATGAGTAGTAATAGGATAAAAAATCATTTATAATTGAGACTAATAAGATTAAATAATATTAACTAATTTTTTAAATTAGTATACACATTAATTAATTTTATTTATAATCCTGTCCAAAAGGAGTGGAGTGAGGACATTAAATTAGACGAAAGATTAAAAAAAGTAATTAATGATGCTGTTTATATATATATATATATATATTCTTTTTTTTTTCTAGCGGACTAACGGTTTTAAATTATTAGAAAATTAACAGAGCCTAAAAAGAAAATTATCCGTTTAAAAACTAAAATCTAAAGTATTTAGGCATAAGCACCAAAAAGAAACAGACACCTAATACAAATTGTATGATTAATTTAACTTAAAAGAACAATGACATAGGAAACGAGTGACAATGTTATAAATTCCACGAGTTTCAGTCACATGATTAGAACACACAAAGAAAAAAAAATCGCTTATTTTTCACCAAATTTATAAATTATTTAAAGTGCAAAACAAGTTAATTCAAAAAATAATTTTTATAATGCTATCTGACTAGCATATTAATTCATTTTAGTCATAAAATTCAGCTCCATCTATGTATGAGTTTTTGGAGGATAAAAGTCCAAGTGCAAAATGAAAACAACTCAAATGTATACAAGTTAGAGTGCTTGAGTCCAAATAGTCTAGGCATTTTGGATAATATGAAAACTCTAACTTAATATACAAATTAGTACACTCTCTCTATTGGAGCCACTCTTAAATGCTAATATGGTAAAATATAAAATAACCACGATATGTGATTTTTTTAAAAGAAAAAAAATAATACAAGTCCGAACAACTGAAAAGTAAATAAATAAAATGAAATAGATGTGAGCCCTCCGAGACTTGAAAAAAATGGTCAAACCTAAGAAAATAAGTAACTCAAGGGAAGTGTAATAAAGACATCGAACAAAAGTTTATATCTATCAAAATAAAAACAATTCAAATGTATATCTAACTTATAATCTCTCTCCCTCTCTCTCTATATATATATATTGTAATAATTCTTTTTGAATGAGACTCATTTTAAGAATTATTTTTCAACGAATATTTTTTAACAAGAGTGTTTTTAGATATATTTTTAACCTTTTATTTTATTTTAATATATCATTTTTATTTATAAATTAGATCAAATTTTTTTCTTAAAAATGTCCATAGTTAAAAATAAGTTTAGATCACAATATAAATTATTTATTATAAATTTTAATTATAAATTATAAGATACAAATATTTATTTATTATAAATTTTAATTAAAATATAATTGAGATTTGAAAACCTTAAAAAAGAAGAAAAAAGGAGAAAAATGTGACATGTTTTGTTTATAGTTACCTAAAACATTATTTTGAATCGAAAGAAAGTGCGTAGTTGCATGCATAACATTCTTAGAGTATACAATTTTTTTTTTCATTTTATCCTTTAACCCATAACCTCAAAAGGAGATTTCGAAGGATAAAAATGTCTGAGCATAAATAGAAATTAAAAAGAGATATTTTCTTTATTTGTTTTTGTAATTGGTGTGATATTTTTATTCTTGAACATCTCCCTCAAGTTCAATTGGGCCAATTGTGATTTTTTTTGGGCTTTGAAATAATTTTTGAGGCTTAGTCTTTAGCCTGTTTAATTTTTTTAGTTGTATATTCAGCTAATAATAAAAAAATTTTGGCCTAATTCAGCGAATCGTGTAGAATTATCCCACATACGGTTCGGAAACACCACTTACAAGTTACAAATTAGTTCTGTACGTATTTTTTTTTAAAGAACTTATTTTTTGTACATAAATTTATTTACACTCGCTCTATGTAATTCTATATCTTAAAATAATATAAATAATAAACACAAATGGCAGTATAATAATTAATTAATATTTTGAAGGTTAATTGGTGGTAAGTCTAATTATAATGATGTGAAACGTGGAATTGTGGCACTTACTTTTGGTGGGTTGGTGACATAGAAACGAAGAACAAGTTGGTGTTGTTACGATTAATATGAACTTCCAACCAATCTGACCATGTCCTCAAGGCCATTTCATACACTCTCACCATTCCTACCTTTTTCAATACCCCATTTGGGTCTCCAAATGAACCCCACCTGCTCACAAAACATTCACCAAAACACAAGAATATCAAGACTAATCTGTTATATCTTCTTACTTAAGATATATATATCTTGCTAATTTTGGATGAAAAATTGATTGTTGAGTATTGGAGAGAATTGGTTTAAAATCAGTTTTTAAAACAAAAAAGGTGACAAGAAAATGAAACATATATACCTAGGCCTAGCTAGCTCTTATACTAAGTTTGTTATTTTTAAATAGAATTGTTCTACAAACCAAAGTGGTGGTAGGAGAGAATCATTTATGGTGAAAACATCTGACAACACAATCACATGTACATGGTGGTTGTAATAGGAGTTGTTGAAAGGCAAGTTGATGAAATAAAGTGATGTTGTACTTACAAAACATTCATTGCGCGCCTTCTCCACCAAAGGAAAGTGTTGAACACCAAAATGTCTGCATCAGTCCAGTACCTAGCATGCTTCTCAATGGCTTGGACTCTCACAGTCCGTTCTGCTACTCTATGGTTCACAGGATCATCCGAGTTCGATTCTACCAACAATGGGGCCCAATAGAACTCGATGGTTGCATTGTATTCCTTCATTTAACGTGTCAATTCAGCAACCAGTTAGCTTCATGCATGTATATATTATTAGCTACTTACATCATCAGCTAGGTTTCAAGGCTCAAAAAATGCTTCAAAGGCCTTAAAGTCCAAAGTACGTTTACAGAGATACTTACAAAGTTAGTGACAAACTTTAAGACTCAAAAAACACTTACAAAAGTACTTATAAAATTAAAATAAGCTTCAAAGTATTAAAAATGTTTTGCAGACCTAAGACTTAAAAAACTCTTACAATTACTAACAAGATTAGGGCATGCATGACTCCACATACTCCAACAAGTTTTAAAGCTCAAAAAACACTTATACAAAGGTACTTATAGAATCAGGGCGGACTTCAGGACTCAAAATAAACCTTTTTATTTTTTGTGTCATAATGTATAGTAATAACTTGATATAACTAAATAAAAATAGTTTTGAAATAGAGGAACATGGAATAGTTTTGAACTTAATAAGGTTACTTTTTCTACTCCTATAAATAGACTTACTTCGGCCTTGAAAATGTTGAGTGAGCCATTTGCAATAGTGCGCATGGATTTGAGAGTTGGGGGCACAGAAGATTCGACAAGGCAAACCATTGAAACCCATTGGCCTCTGTTGAGTGAATCCCCCACAAACACCATCCTCTTGTTCCTTAGCCTTTCAAGCAACGCTGTGGCATTGAACCTTATTAACAAAGAAGGAGCCACATTCCACAAAAGCTCAAACACATACCTAAACTTAATATTGAAGCATATCATACATATAGCACAAAGAATGAGGTATTAAAAATAAAGAGAGGTGCTACACAACACACTCTTCAACCCATTATTTGTAACCCATTTTGGTTACAAAATTATGAATAAGAGATTCAGTATTATATATAGTAACAAAGACTCAATTTTTTTTTCAACAAATTTTAGTCGGTAAGAGATTATGTTTTAGAGTGTGTTATTAGTAGTATTAACAAAAAGAAAAATTGCTAACAAAATCACATATTGGTTAAAACATCAAAAATTTAAATTTTTTATAAAAATATTATTAATATATTTCTACTGTGATTTCTAATATAATTTTTCTTTATTAATTTTCTAACCAGGTACCCTTATGATAATTGTTAGCAAAAATTGTTAAGGGAGCATTTGGAAGTTAGGTTTTGAAAGGAAAAATAAAGAATGGACAAACTGTTCATTTAAATAAATGTTTTTTAATTTTTTAAAAAATCAAAGAAATAAATTGATAGATTAGCATAAACTTAATGGGTCTGTTTGTTTTAAAAATTTTTCTTATAAAAGTATTTTTTTAAAAAATAAAATAAGTTCTTTTTATTTTTTGATGTGCTTATCAATTTTTTTAAATAAGCAATTTAAAAAAAAAAAAACTTCTACTACTTCTTAAAGAATTGTTTTTGTTTTTAAAATGCTTATTTACAAACACTTTTTCTTTTTAAGTTTAATCAAATAGACTTAATATTTTAATTTTTCTTCTAAACATTATATAATTCTCATAATTTAAAATAAAGTGTCATCCCTTTCCTTCTCCTCAAGATCCCACTTCCAAACACATCCTTAAAAAATGTGACAAGGTAGAGAGAGAAACCTGGGCAAGTCACATTGGTGGGGCTTCCACCTCCAGTTCTGGTAGCTCAGGTCCTTCCTTCCAAACTTCTCACAAGCCAATTGATCAGACATGTACGTGCACTGCTTCTCCTTATAGAGTGGATATGATTCATTATCATAAATCCACTTACCAGAAAACAAATCACATTTTGATAGTGAACGTAACTTGTTCCCTTCATGAGACCATTCTTCTCCTTCCTGTGTTAGATAAATGGCAGTGACAACTAGAGTAGTGGTTAAGATCGCCACAAGAGATTGAAAAATGTTTCTGATTCCCCAAGTGCTCCCTTCCACTATTTGATGTGCCTTTGCCATTTAATTCACTTTCTTTGTTTCTCACTGCCACACTTCCTCCCTTATGAAGCTTCTTGAAACCGGTTGGTGAGATTGAAGATACTTTTCATCTCTAGCTAAGTTGTAAGTAGTAGGTAGAGCATGATGCATTTAGAAGCTCATGATGTTGAAATATATTTTCCAAAGATAAGACTCAAATTTATCACCCACTTTTGAATTTGAGTTGATTAATATGTTTTTTTTAAATAAAAAGTTTAAATGAAAATTAAACTTATTCCAATCTTAGAAATTAAAATCTTTGATTTTATTTTTCAAGAATGGTAGATAAGAGATAATAACTCCATGACTATTAACTATGGAATTAATGACATGTTTGAGATCTTAAGATCAGACATATTATTATTTACTTAATTAGTGATTAGTTAAATTTCAATAATATACAATTTAACTTAGAATTTTACTTATTAAATTAAGGACTAGTAAAAATTCATAAGAAGAATTTTACTTTTGATGTAAAGAAATTTTTCTAAATAAATATGTCTATTAAAGTAAGATTTTAATGATCATAAGAGTGTCAAATTCAGATCATGACAAATACAAACTTAGATTATATTTTAGACTATTATTTTCAATTAATGATTTCTTTGGATTCTATATGGAGAAAAAAAATTTGAAAAAAAAAAGATATCTATCCATAATAGATTATTTTTGTATTCATATCCATAGTAGATTTTTTTTTTTTTTTGTATTCATATCCATAGTTTTTGAAAATTTTTGATTACTAAATATACATGTTTAATAAATTATACAGTGATTACAACTAATTTCATTATTAATTTTGTCATCCATAGTTTGAAAACTGTTATTTTTTCTATATATATAAACAAAATTAAACACTCATAACTTAGAACAGCCAATGTAAAGATTAGGTTTGTCAAATTTATCTTTGTATTATATTAGTGACAGGTTTTTTGATGTGTATTCAGAAACACACATGTTAAGAAGCATTAATCAAATGTATTATATGAAATGTTTCTAATATTTATTTTTGAAGGAATATGAGATGTTTCAACTTACTTTAAAAAATATTGAATGATATTTTTATAATGAACATGTTTTATTTATTCTTTTTTTTTTCTTTCTTTTTAACATGTACTCTTCATACACATTAGAATAGAACGAAGACCATATTAGTGACTCGTTGTACGTTGTATACGTTTTTATGATACCGATTTCGTATAACTTTTATTAATAAAAAGTATAATTAGTTTAAAGAGAAATTATATTAAGAAAATATATCAATATGATGGATTTCACTTTTTAATGAAATTAACATGTATCAAGCTGAAAATTAAATGTGAACTTTGCTATTACTTCCTTCAGTTTCCCAACTTGAGGTATTGCATTTAGTGGTAGTGTACATCTACATTTATGTATGTAATTTATGTCACAAATTAATTTGAAACGTTAGTTAGAGAATGCTTTTCGCTGCATTTGCACTTTACCAGCACTACTTCACAGTTCACATTCGATATTGTTTGTTTCAAATTTTAGTTTGACATAATATGTAGACCAATTAAACGATATACGAAATTAGGTTGTGTTGTTGACGTTTTCACAACCAAGAATGTTGCTTGAAGAAAGGACGAGGTCTATATTGTCCTTTCCACTTTCTTTCCCCGTTATTCCTCTATAGAAAAAAGATTAAAATGACTAAAAAAGAAAAAAGACAAAAGTAGAATGTTGAAATAAAAATAGCGATCCAAATACTTAGTCGCAATATTCCAATAGTCTATTTTTCAACTGAATTAGTGACTACTGATACGACTACGGAAAAGAATTAAAATTATTTTTCTATTTAGGAACGAAAATGTTGACTAAATGAGGCATCCAATTGAAATAAAGAATATTTTTAAAATAAAATTTTATGGCAATCAAAGTTGTGACCAATTTTTTGTCGTGACAAAATTAGACTCATGAAGACATGAGAGGAAGTAATCAATGCTATAACAATTAATAATATTTGCCTAGCGACAAATACAAATTTGGTTGCTAATTCCTTGAGACTAGGCCTTTGGAGACAAAAGTCTACCAATTGTTAATTTGGTCATTGAGCTTGATAGCGACGATAGGAACCCTCAAACTACTACATGCATTTTAACCAAATTATTAACTATCGCAAAAACTTTGGAAGGTGAACCAAGCACAGGCTTCTAACTGCCCTTGTTGAAGCAAAACAATGTGGTTCATGGTAACGATATATGTCTTAGAGAAAAATCTCTAAATTAAAGGATTAGACATTCGTGTACTTTGAACTTATGTTGCTTTAGGTGCTACACCAAAAGTCATATTTAAAAACAATTATTTTACCTTTTAGTGACAATATAAATAGTCACTATAATGTTTACCAGCAATTAAATTAAGATCAGTATTTTAAGAGTTGGTAAAAGTTTTAGCAACCATTATAATGAATGCTAGTAAAATCCCTTTTAAGGGCTAGGAAAAATTAAGTCCTTTTAAAAGCAGTACTAATAGCAATTTCAATGACCTCTAAACATGTAGACAAATTAAAAAAAGATTCATTGTCCTTTTTTTATTTATTATATATACTACCAGATTGATAACTCTTGCCTTGTAGCTTTGTTCAATATTTATTTATCTGATGTTTAAGAGATCATCCATATAAGGCAATAATTTTTTTTTTGTTTCTCTTTAATTTTATTTTTCCTACTCATCAAAAAAAAAAATACACTACACTCCGAATTAACAAGGAATAAAGAGAACACGATTTTTTTATTAGCAAACACGCTTCTTTAAACGTTTGACTGAATAATTGGATTTATCATTCTTATTGATCTTGAAAATTTCCATCATAGGAGGAAAGGGAAGAAAATACAAATATTAAGAGGGAGAACAGCTAAAAGTCTTTTCTCACCTCTTAGGAATTATTGCATTGATCTAATAACATTTACATTGTCACACAATAGCCTTTGTCAACTTTCTGTCATTGGCTTCTCTACATCTTTTTGCGCAAACTAAAGTTTTTCTCAAGTCATAGCCTATATTTAACATAGGGTAGTGTATACATGCAAACACAAAAAGAAACCATTAATTTTTCTGATGTATAAACATTATCGGATCCTGCATCAAAACTAAAAAGAATAAAATTCAAAATTCTCCAATCTAGCTCTCTCATGCCAATGATTATTCTTTGATTTTATAGGAATAAAAGACAGAAAGAGTGGTCATTTAAAGTCTACTTTTTACATTTCTCATGTGGACTTAAATGCCTTCACCTTATTTATTCATTATTAAGCTCCTTTTTTATCCATATAATCATGGTAATCTACACAAAAAATATCACCATATTCATTAATTATACTGATAATGATTTATAGGTGTCACATACATGTTCACATGCAGTATAATATTTAGGAGAATCATGCAACTAGATTAATGCACATTGCAAAAATAGAGTTAGCAACTCCAAATAGATGATAACTCAAATTACAAAGGGGGAAAAAAGAAAAAAAAAAACAAAAAAAAAGTCCAATGCACATAAGATGATAACTATATGTTGCCTTAATTAATTAATTTGAATACAAAGATGTTTCCAATATTTAACCCCATGACATAGAATTTATAAAGCAATAACTAAAATTAGCAATTCAATCCAATTATAGGTGTAAACTTTTTTTTTTTTTTTTTGATCCAACAAAGCTTAAGTCACTACTTAATTAAATATATAGTAAAAAGTCTCTAAATAAGTTTCTTAAACCATTACTAAGATAAATTCTTAATATTTGCAATATTACTATGTCAAAGAATTATGAAAATAATGAAACTAAGAACCTTAATATAAAACATAATAGTTAAATGGTAGTTCTGACATGTGTTATGGAATTTTAAGTCATTCTCAACTATATAATCTCATACTTGTAACGACCCGCCATGGTCTCTACACTTAGTGGAATCGAACTACTACTAATGAACTAAGAGAAATATTAACATTGGACAACTCATACATACCAACATATATATGTAAGAATAAAATAACTAAGTTCTATGTGCCAAAAAAATATAACATCATATATGTACAGTCATCCAAAATAATATCACCTTAGTGCCGGTCAAGCACAACCAACAGCTACCTAAAAAGGTAGCTCTGACACTAGGACAAAACTCCCCAACTCGCAGCGAATCACCTCAACTTCAAGCTAGCCTTGACTTGCTCCCATACCAAGTATGATCATCGCAATTCCATCACATGAAAACAGAAGGGTAAGCTAGAGTTCAAAAAGAAATCAATCATACAAGTATAAAACAATAATCTATACTACACAATCATCCAACTATCAATCATGTTCATAGAGTCACACCATACACTCTATCTAATACTACTTATGCATAAAATGCAACACAACAATCATGTAGTCAAACACCAAACACTTCATCATATTAACAATCATGCAATACATGCAACTCATGATAGATATCAATGCAAATCAATCATCTAATGCGTCGTCACGCATACACCTAGGAGATCTCCCTAACAGTAGAGCAGTGTAAGTGATATTCCAATCCTACTGAAATCACCCCAACCGTTTTCACGCCAAATGCGCCTGCTCAGTCACAGTTAAACAGGATATAAATCCTCCCTCGGGTTTACTCGGATGATATCACTTACACAATTGGAAGTCCGGATCCACCGTCAGGTATAGCACAGCTGAGTATTAGGCTTACCACGACCTTGGCATGCAATTACCAATTCACCTGTGGAGTTCGCCCACTGATTATCCGCAAGGATCCACGCACCTTCCCCAGTACTTGGTTAAGGGAATAACCCTCGACCTCACACTCCGCTCCAACATTAGCTAAGGACTTAGAGGAGACTCACCCAACCTAGTGGCCTACCTGAGCACCACTCTCATATATCAGTGACCTATCCAATCACCACTCTCAAGAAACTCTATGTGAGCTCTTCTAGTTCGAAAATATTTTCTCTCTCCTCAAGTCCTAGGCTAG